CACGTGTAGGGCAACTTTGCACATGCGGGAAAACAAAGGCTTGAGATATATATATATATATATACATATAATATACATACACATGTTTTTTGTTCGATCTACAGAAGATTTCTGGTGTCATTCCCGGGTTCCTGGACAGCAAATGCAAGTTGATGAAGAGGGCATGAATTGCAAGTGGGTGATTTTTCGCTAGACCAAGGCTTGGATGTGTCTCTCCGTAGACCAAGGCACCCCGTGATAAACCGCAGAAGATGTGGACATAGCGAGAGTATTTGGGGACCATCCGTGTCAGTTGAAGCCTTCGGCATGAATTCCTGGTCCAATGGGCTGACTTGCCCTAGAAGGCTCTATCCTGCTTGATCCAGTGTATCAACCATGGTCATACTGTCATACCAGTGGTGATACCATCCCAGGCGCTGTGGGTTTCTCCTGGCGGTTCGTGAGGATGGTTGTGCTTGTGATCTCAATCCGCAGCCAAGGCCAATATCACCTGCGAGGAAGGGGATCTCATTCGCCACAACACCAACTGCACCCCGGTGTGCGAGGACGCCGCGCACGCATGCCATGTCCATGAGACCGCAGTGCCGGTAGTACCCATCCGTTTCTTTAAATACAGGTACAGTATATTGTATTAGTTCTTCCGAAGATATGCGTGTTTGGATGGACTGAGCTTGGGTCATAGAGCATCCTAGAGCCATCCAATTTCAGAAGAGAGAGAGAGAGAGACGGCAACTGCTTGTGGCTTTTGGTTTGGACCACATGTTGAAAAGAGAAACGGTTGCAACAAGGTACCTAGTAACTAGTAGATACTTGTACTTCTACTTCTGGCGAGCTGGCAACGCCCACCACTTATTCGCAGGAAGGCTTCACAGCAGACCTGGACAGCCTTCTTTGCCAGGCTTGGCTCGTGAGTCTTCATATCCCCTCACCGATGGGGCGAGGGTGGTGTTTGCAGCCTTCTTGGGGCGATTTGTTTTGTACCACCCCTAAGTCAGGCAAGAACTGATGGTTCGATATTTAATTGGCATAAAATTTGCTCTTCAGATGGGGAACATGGGCGAAGAGCTCTGGGCAAATGGTGTCGATTTCCTGCTTCTCCAGGCTGGCGAGCTCACCCCGGCCTTGTTCGCGTGCGCTTGAGTGAGCTCTTCAGCTGGGGTCTTCATGCGTCAAGAGGAGTTTGTGCAGGAACAAGCAGGCAGCATGTCCGAACACGCTGACAGACTTCAAGACTTGTCAACCTGATATGCAATGGTAACGAATTGGTCCTTGTGGATCAAGAGGGAGGGCAATTGTCTTTGGCGGTTGGTCAAGCATTGACTCAACGGACACCAAGCCTCCCTCCACTCGTAAATCAGCATGCTGCACAAAGCGGTTCACCAGCGCCAACACGGCGCCGTTTAACGGAAAACCGCTGCAGCGGTTAATGCACCCGGTGTCATCCGTGTGACGCGAGCTATTCTTCCGCCGATCTCCAAGAAGAAACAAACAGGCTTGGAATCTCAGAATCTTGATCAATAATCCTCCGCAACATGAGGAGGTCTTATAATCCGAGCGGGGGGGAGTCCTATTAAGTTTTTATTCATCAAGATTCTACATTGAGTGGTTTCACTGGAGTCCCCATCTCCATGCCTTTCACTGCAGAGGATCCTCAAGTTGGCTCTTTCAGGGCTGGTGCCAACTGAAAACAAAGCGGATATCATGCTCTTTGGCAAACATGGGTCTTGGGACCCTTGGATTTCACCGATTCCTTCCTTCCTTCCGCCTCACCGGCACACAGAAGACACCGCGACCGCCGTGGAGTTCCCCGCGCGCGACCGGCGTGCCGAGGACCGTGGTCGTCGGTCGGTCTGGGTCAGCGCCGGAGTCGCGACGGATCGAAAAAGGTGGAGTTCGGGAGCGGGGATCGCTTGCCACATCCAACCACCTGGAGGATGAATCTAGAAAGCTTTCTGGAAGGAATTCCGAGTGTTTCTCCTTTTCTCCACTTTGGGATCATGGCATTTGTGTCCCGACCCCACGACCTGGCTTGGGTCTGGGCCCGAGCCTCACGACACCTGGAATTCGACCCGGTCTTCAGCGCCGTCGGCCGAGGTGGGGTTTTGTCACCATGGCGGACGCCAGCCAGGCCCAGACGGCCCTCACCGACGCTCGGCGGCACGGAACGGAGGGTGCGCTTGGGGGTCGATGTGGATGGGACGGTGTTGGGGTTTTGCAGTGGTTCAACGGTTCCACGGCAATGCCCCGGAAGAAAAACACCCCAACAAACGCCCAGGCATCTCCCCGTTACCGGGGCCTTCTTCGTGACGGCCGGTCCGAGCCGTTCGCTCGTCGTTGCGAGGAAGTCAACGGGAAGATCCTCCAAGTGAGCCACGAGGCCGTCGAGGCGGGCTCCGGGAGTTGAAGCTCCGGTCCGAAGGGTCGAAAGCAGGGCCGTTTTGGGCCGTTTTGGGCAGCTCCGGTCCTTCCACACGACTGGACAGGTCTCCCAGCATCCGACTTGAAAAGGTCACTACGACTGCGACCCTTTTAAGGTCAAGCCACCGGAGGAGACCTGGCAGGGAGGGTCCAGGTATGGGACATCTCACATTTTGTTGATGGTTGATGCAACCTCTTGAGACAGAACGATGTAATCCCACGCTTTGGCCATGCGCAGAACGCTGCTGCGGGTGCCTGCGGTGCCTGCGGTGCCTGCGGCGCCTGCGGCGCCTGCGGCGCCTGCGGTGCCTGCGGTGCAGGCGGACGGGGGGAGTTGTTGGAAGAACCCATATATTTTAAGGATTCTTTTTCGCGTGCCTTTTGGCATTTTTTTCACCGTTGGTGGTTTGATAGCTTTCTGTTAGCTTTGGCTTTTGGCGGCTGTTGGCTTTTGTTGGCTTTTGACTTTTGGCAGCTTTTGGCTTTTGGTGGCGTTTGGCTTTTGGCGGCTTTTGGCTTTTGGTGGCTTTTGGCTTTTGGCGGCTTCTGGCTTTTGGCGGGTGTTGGCTTTTGGTGGCTTTTGGCTTTTGGCGGCTTTTGGCTTGTGGTGGCTTTTGGCTTTTGGCGGCTTCTGGCGTTTGGCGGGTGTTGGCTTTTTGTGGCTTTGTTTGCACAGCTGCCAGATGCAAGAAGGTATTGGTTTTATATATATATATGGTTTTATCTAGATGATTGCAACTCACAGACGACCATGAGATATTGTGTTATTGGAATCCTTTCGGAGGAAGGTTTTCATACTGATCACTAGCTTCATAGCTTCAGACAGCTGGCTAGCTGTTGGGCAACGTCATGCTGCATGGGTCGTTGGTGAGCTCTGGTGAGCTCTGAAGTGTAATCTGCACTTTGAGGTTCAAAAAAGTTCTGCGCCTGCCACAAAAAGGTTTCTAGGTTCACAAAGTGCTGCGCCTGCCACGAGGTCTGCACTTGAAGGTTCACGAAGTGCTGCGCCTGCCACGAAATCTGCACTTCGAGGTTCACGAAGTGCCGCGCCTGCCACGAAATCTGCACTTCGAGATTCACGAAATGCTTTGCCTGCCACAAAATGAGCAACTGAAGGTACTCAAAATGCTATGCCTGCCACGGAACCACTATGTGAAAGCGCTACCAGACAAAAAGTACCAAAAAGAGCGCGAAACAAATTCCTTTAAAACATCGTCAACCGTTGTTGCAGGGCGCTGAGCCCAAGGACAAACGTGCCCCAGGTCCAGCGAACAGGAGGGTCTCACTTGTTTTTTGGGTGTTGGGGCCTCCTGCGCGCATTGCTGGGCGCGCACCCCTGTTCGTGCACGTTCCCAAACTCAGTCAACTGGCAGCGCAACTGGTCAGGAGCAGAGATGCAGATGGACCAGATGAATCAGATGCACCAGATGAATCAAATGAATGGCGTCTGGCTCCCGGGTGAGTCGGATGGGGACTTCAGCCGATTTCTGTTTGTGCCTTTTCGGGGATCTCCCTCATACCTTCTTTCGAATTGATTGAGATGGGGGAGTTTAAATATGTTTAAAATTGTTTAAATCAATTGATGCTGGATTCGTCTGGATTCGTAATGATGAGGGAAAGGTCATCAATAGTTAGTCTCCGTGACCAGAGCATAAAGAGAATATTCAGCATTCATGCCCTTGTGAATTCATGCTAAGATTGTACCTCTCTAACTTTTTTTTGGCTTTTAATTTACATGTTTTCATTCATAATGGATTTTATGGATATTTTGTTGTGTATTCTACTAATTGAGACAAGGTACCTAAATCTACCTACCTGATAGGACATTTGCATTGCAGATGAGGATGGAGTAGATGGCTCCTTTGGAGAGTCACGTGCTTCGCGAGGGTCCTCCTTTCTCGGGAGATCGATGGCTCCTTTGTGATCGACGAACATATCACCCCAGGTCAGCTGAGAAACATCGGTGGTGAATCAAGCTGCCAAGCTGCCAAGCTGCTGATGTGACACATATGGCTTTGATCTTTTGAAAGCTCAAGACTCGACGCACCACCATAGACCACCCGCAGCACCATGTTATTTTGTGCGTCTGAGTTGGACCACCAAGAAGGTCCATGGAGTTCGAGAAAACCCACAAAAGAGGAACTCCACGCCTTGGCTCCACGTCTGACCGGACCGTGAGGCCTGGGACAACAGCAATGGCTATGGCTTTGGCTATGAGGACCGCACCGACGGCCGGTGCACGCTGGCCCAGTCGACCGGTGCTCCTCCAGGGTCGCCACTCTTTGTTCGATCACTTGCTAGGGGATTTGGGGTGTGTAGCAGTCAACATTGGTTGCTGTGAAGTTTGCATTGTAGCCGCTTGGAGCTGCTGCAAAGCTATGCCACACTGTGGTGTGACTGGCCTTTCAGCTAGCAGTACTTCACTATGGTTCACTGCTTGCTGGGCTGGGGGTTCTTCTCATTCCTCTTCCCACGAGCTTGTCTTCCAAGACCCCTTTTTCTGACCTGGCTGCTCCCCAGGAGCCCCCCGCGCTCGCGGGCGTGGCGCCCGAGGGGGTCTCGGCCCTGGCGGGCGTGGCGCCGGCCACGGCGCTGGCCACACCCAAGGCTGGACTCTGCTTCTTTGAGTTGTTGAGTTGTTGAGGGTTCTTTTGGCGCATCCCAAAGCCGTGACTGCCTCGTCACTTCCAGACACAGAGCATGCCGCTCCGAGAGCAAACGGGCGGCCAGGCATTGCCGCAACCGACACAGAGCATGGCGCAGCCCGTGCCGGAGCAGGCTGGGCACGACACGAGTGATAAGCTTCAACCCTTCAGCCATGGGAGACAGGGCCGGTATGGTCGGCCCGTGGCTATGATCCGTTGGACCAGGGCCACTACCCCTCTCCTGCAGTTAAGGGGATGAGCTAGGTTGTGGACCGTAAATCCACCACGAGTCCCTGAGTCTTTGCTCATCCCGAAGTTATAACGTCCAGTTTGTTAGGATCTTTTGATCAAGTCCTCTTGCTCTACCAACAACATACATGAATGTCATGCTTGAAAACCGTAGCGAGTCCCCCATGTTGAGACACATCCATCGATGGTCATTGAGGCCGCGGAAACAGCTCCTGCACAGTCACAGCCTGCAGCTGAGGCATGGTTAGATCCGGTTGGACCTGTTGCCTCCTTATCCCTTTTGCTCTCCATTTTCGTTCCTGAAAGCCTTTTCGCAAGCGTTCGGCCTTTTCCTTCACCGAAGAGTGCATTTTAGAGGCTCAGAACTTTCTGACAAATTCTTTTTGGGTGGGAGCTCGCTACTTTGGCAGAGTCATTGGAACTCTAGCGGTGACCTACCTATTAGAGTCTCTTCTGGCTTTGTCTTGATGGGGTCGGCCATGCCATCGGTTCATCATCTAAAGCCACCGGTGTCCATGCCTCTCTTTCGACCCGCAAACCGGTCGAACGATTGAAGAAACGAGGGGTCCAAAAAGGACCCGGGGGGGTTCTTGAATACTCCAACCCTTCACTGGTGGAATTTGGAGCCCCTCTTCACCGGTGCTCCGCTCCGCTTGGCTCCACCGGGCGACGCACACCTGGCGCCGTGGGGAAACGAGACGAAACGAGACGAGGAGATCGAGTCCCCAAGAACTGGAGGAGCGGCGAGGAAGCTGGAGTTAAGCTCATTACAAGGTGGAAGATGGAGTTATATAAGATGAGGCCTTGAAGATGGAGTTCCAGATTTTTCTGCGTAGATTTCAGGTGGCCACACGACTAATGCCGATATCTACCGACAGGCTTTTCATTGAAGAGTTGGCTGCCAGACAAGCATCCACAGGGACAGGGGTCAAGCCTGTAGTTTGGCCAAGCAAGCATCTTGTCCGTCACCAGTCACTAGGTCCTAGGTTTGTTTTGGTCGAAAAGTCCGCTTAGGAATGTGGCTTTGTGTTGTCTCTTTTCCAGGCACAAGCGACGCAGAGTATGCCTCCACCAGATCAGGCTGTGTCATTGGAATATCGGTGGGCGAAGGCAGGGTTGAATTTCTACCACCCATTAACTTTGTTTTCTACCACCCTGTCTCAAAAATTGTTTCTCCCATGCGTGTCGGAGTTGTGAATCTTCACCCGCTTTCGAGGGAAACCTGGGAAACGGGCAGATGCCCTCCTGCGACACCGCTCAGGCTGCTAGAAGCCTCAGATGTTGTTGGTGAGCAGTGTAGCAGTGCATTGGTACCTGGTAGCGAACGACGGTTCACGTCGGCAGGTCAACCAGGTCTCCTGGCGACCCACAGCGTGACATGACTGCCTGGGGCAGTGGTTTGTTTGCGTCTCAGACCCGCATTGAACCACAGGTTTAAGTAAGAATCTACCAGGACCTTCCAAGAGGTGTCTGTAAATAGCCCCTTGAGCTGATTCGGGGTGTCCACAAAACACCTGTTGGAAGGTCCTGGTGGAGGACTATTGCACAATTCATTACCCTGGACGACATCCCGGTGGAACTGTCTTCCAGATGTTCGCAGATTCCCTTCTTTGCGCATATGCCCGCTGAAGCGACAGGGAGCACCGAACATAAAGACCTCCACCACTTTGGACCTTCCACTGTGACTTCCCTCTATCCCGCATCCCCAAAAAGGAAGCAAAGAAGCTTGACTGATTGAAGTGTTGGTTTCATTTTGCTCTCTTTTCAATTCATCACAATATCAAAGCGTTTCAGAATGCAGGCCGCGCCAGCTGTGCCGGCCGATGGCTCGGCTGCTCCAAGTTGAGGCGTTTTGGTGGTATTTTATTCAAGTGGGAACTGTCGCGGGGGCTCCCTGGTCTTTCGGAACCCTCCATGGTCTTTGAGGACGTTCTTTCATGTTCTTTCCCTTTCTTCCCTCCTTGGAGACGGATTTTGTGCATGGCCTGCATGGCACAAAAAGAATGGGGAATCTGTGACGTCACGAGCATGAGCTGACTTAGACCTGTCCCGCCGCAGACCTCGCTGTGCCCGGGTTCTTGTGGCGTTCGACACCGCAGGTATGCCCAAAACCGATGCATGCCGAGCGGCCGCGGAGTGATGGGGCGGCCGCGGAGTGATGGGGCCGCAGTGAGAGGGCTGTGAGCATGACTTGTGGCTTCTTCACCCTGGGTTGGTGAAGATGATGAAACCGGTCGTGTCGGGTGACCAGGGGAATTCGAACATTCCAACGGACCACAGGACTTCCAACGGACCGGTACTGCTGGAGCTCCGCATAGCTCCGCATAGCTCCGCAGCTGGCAAGACTGGCAGACCAAGCAACAAAGTCTCGTCCCACTGCTTGGCTCACAGCCCTCAATCATCCCACGCTACCCAGAGACGACAGGGGTGCGAAGGTCCGTCGGTGCTACGCTTCGCCGGTGCTACGCTACGCAGGAAGAAAACACCTCGAGCGGTTTCTCAGCGTTTAGAAGACACAGCATTCGACCTATGCTGGACCTACACTTCCCCCACACTCTTTCTCCAGAGGCAAACATTTCTTGGAGTGAACGTTTTCATCTTCCACTGTAAAAGATGAACGGCTCTCCTCTCTCCGTGTTCCTTCCTACCCCTTTGAAGCAGCGTCGTAGAGTTGGAAAAACGGCCCCAGCAGAGCTGTAGATAGGATGAGTTGCTGGGATTTTCACTTTCGAGGCCCAAAGAGTGGTTGAAGGAGTTGAAAAAGCCGCGTCTCGCAAGCATAGCTGGGTCAGTTGTATCGCTCGTGGACCTGCAAAAAGCACCTTGGCCTGCGGAGCTGCAGGCCCAGCACTTGAAAGACTTCTGGTGAAGGTAGAGGAGCTATGGGGGTTGGTCAACCCAAAGCAGATAGACAAGCGACCACAAGTGAGAAGCCAGGTGGCGGTGGTTCAGAGACTGCCCAGTGGTGATAAATGAGGGGGGAACTGTCTGAAGAATGATGTTCAGTTTTGATGCCTTTATGTCCTCTGTTTCGAATGACCCGCGCAGGTCAGCAAACCGACTGGAAAGGGTGTACAGGCCGGCAGAGACGGGACCATCTCCAGTTTCAAAAACGACAGCTCAGATAGGCTCAGATGTAATAGGGATGGGACATTGAAGGCAGTCGGAGCCTTTGGTGTCGCGATGCTTTGCGAACTTTGCACCGTATTTCTCCGTCTTCATTATATATACCAGGACCTTCCAACAGGTGTTTTGTGGACACCCCGAATCAGCTCTAAGGGGCCTTTTTACAGACACCTCAGAAGGAAGGTCCTGGTAGATTCTTACTTAAACCTGTGGTTCAATGCGGGTCTGAGACGCAAACAAACCACTGCCCGGGCGGCCGTCGCATGGACTCCTCGGCTCGCGGACTCGGAGAGACCAGTCGCGAGGCCTGTCCTTGTGGCCGAACGTGCACGCCCGGGGAGCCCAGCGATGGACGGATGGAAAGCGCCCCAAAAGGGCCAGGCCGCCCATGGGACGGATTTTCCATGTCAAAAGGGGCAGGCAAAATGCTGGAGGGGAGGAGGCCGGATCGAGGGATTTCGGTGTTTTCTTTTGGTTCCTTTGCCTGCAGCCCGGGTCATTTGCTGCAAGCAATCCATCATTGGTAGAGGGCAACTTCAAGCATTCGGTCAGGGCATCTTGTTACATTTGACCATGTCCGCCATGGCCCATCAGCTTGACTGGTCACCAGTGAGGCCGGAATCCCACTTCTGCCCCGACTGCGGACAAGGCCTGCGAGAAGAACTGTTGGGCTGAAGTCAGTTGCTTGTGACACAGCCGGCCACTGACATTGGACCTGCAGTTCCAGCTTTTGTCCAGCAGACTGTTGAAGATGGGCACTCTCCGCGTCGCGCTCTCCGCATCCTCCCCACGTCATTCGGTGCAAAGGCCTTAGAGTCCTGGTCGGCAGAGCCTTCCCCCCCGCCTGAGCTACGCGAACACTATCGGTGGACCACAAACATTCCTAGCGAGTTCAGTCTTGCCGCTTCAGGACATTGGATGTCAACCGCCCAAAAACATCGAGCAAAATCACACTCCCAGCGCCCCTTCTCAGTCACTCGCTGGTTCTCGCACCACCAGGGCTCCAAAAGCGTGGCGTTACTCCGGTGCCAGTCCCAGATTCAGATAGCAGCTTTGGGTCAGAGTTCTTTTTTCAAGCCGAACTTGGGGACTTCCTGAAAATGTCAATTATAGATTAAAGACTGGATATATACACTGTATATACCTCGCTCATCGGACAGTGTATATACTTATATATATATATATATGTCTTTACACTTCATTATGAATAACGAATATGACAAGCAGCGACTTCGATCTTGGCCACCTAAAGGAAGAGCTTCCAAGGTTTCTTTCGGGAGGCGATTTCTTGATGGGAGTGGAAGGTGGGGCAGGTTTTCCCACTCGAATCACTTGTCACAGCATGGCTCACTTTCAGGAAAGCCTTCCCAACCAGAAGCGGCAGAAGAAGAACACGAAGGTCAGCCGAAGAGTTCATTCCTGGTGCGATTCGCAAGGAATGAGGGTCTGTTTGTTGGCTGGACCCTGGTGGCTTATCTGTGGATCATGGGGTCATTCCCTTCTTCATCTTCTTCTCTACTAACTCACCTGCCCCCCCTGACCGCTGGAGCCTTCTGCTCCCCACAGCTGTCCCCAGAACGGTGACGACCCTGAGCGAAGCCCTGTCCGCATAGAGCTGATTTCGGTGAAGGAGGAAGCTCGCTAGGCAAGCTGACAGGTGTGGAGTCCCCGACTTGGAGTTCGAAAGTCCTTCTCCCTTCGCGAGAACCTCCCTACATTTGGGGCAAGACCCGGCTTCTCGGCTGTCTGAAGGATTTTGGGAGGACCCAACATGGTGTAGTTTGGCCAGTGTGCCGCTCCGGTCCAGTGTCTCTTTCTACCAACCACCACGGCGGACTCAGCTCTGTGTGGACGAAACCGTCACTGCCAGTTGACGACTTGGCGCTGTGAGTGCTTGGACCCAGAGAAAACGGGCTGGGCGGCGAAGCGTTCAGCGAATAAGGCTTGAGTAAGGGAAGCGCCGAATTGGGGCGATCCTGATGTTATCAGCAATGAGTTTCCAGATATCGTTTTTCTTGTCCTCTGTCTTGCACACGATGACAGCGCAAAAAGCACCGGAAGGACTGGCGGGCTCAAGCTAGTCAAAACACAGCTCAAAGTTGGGCACTTGCCTTCAAGAACAAACAGAATGAGCACGCACTTGCACCTATGAGGCCAGAACATGGTAGGTGAACAGGCCGAGGTGACCCAGGTGCCAGCACTTCTGATTCCAAAAACTCCAGTGCCTGAAAACCCATGTTTCACTCAGACTGGCGGGTCAGAAAGTGCTCCTTGACCATCAGTAGAGCACTTCCCCCAGCCTTCGTTCCACTGTGTTCTCGCCGCCATGCCGTGTGCGAGCTCGAGCCACCTCTGGAGTTCTTTCCAGGGCGCTGGAACGACGGCTCCCAACGCTGCCGGGCCCCCCAATGAGATGGCGGAGGCTGGCGGGCTGCTTCGGGGGGGTTCGGGCAATGGGATTTGGAAGGAGGGGGCCAGGGGTGTTTATTTTTTTGAGAAGACTCAAGGGGCCATGTCCATGTGGCTTTGTGCTTTAAAAGCCATCGCTGCTCAAATTCTGTACCACCCCCGTATGAAGCCTGTGCACCACACCAATGTCGATTTGCAGAAGGAGTACTTGTCTTCCCAGAAACCGCTGGACAAGGGAATCCCACTTGCTTTGGACACACTCACTACTGGCAAAATCCATCTACTGGCAGCCGAAACCAGTGAAATCCTCAGACCCACTGCTGTCCGCCGACGCTGTCAGCCGACGCTGCTGCGCAGGCGGCGTCCCAGTGGGCGCGCCATGCCGCCTTCACGGCCTCGCGCGCGGCGCAGGCCGCGCAGTACGCGTCGCAGCAGGCGCAGATGGCCACGAACTCGGCGCAGAATGCGGTGGCGCAGGCGATTGGCGGGCGGCGCGCCTCGCGGGCGGCGAGATGGCGAGATGAGGGGCCAGGGTGGGGCTGGGGAAATATGTGATAAGACAGGTGGCGAGAGGAAGATGAGTGCGGGAAGGTCTATAGAGCCCAATCCGTGCTGCCTCTTGCTTGATTTTCCTTGAACGAGAACACCCAAGGACTTTTCACTTTAACGACCCAAAATAGAGCGCAACCAACAAATTAGGCCGGGATACCTAAGGGAGCACGTCATCTATTTTTTGCATGCTCAACAGCGCTTGGCTCAGTGTGCTTTTGGTCCACCGGGCCAACTCCGCAAAGGTCAGCTACTTGATGAATAATCCGGATCTTCGATCGGCTGCAGCCGCCGGATTCGGCGGTGACCTTGCAGATGGTCTGTGTGGCGCTACACAGATCCTCACGGTGAGACGCTGGAGACTGGTGAGTTGCTGGGGGTTTCCCTAAGGAAGCTAGCAGTTGGCTTATATACCCTGGCTTACCCTATGTTTGGTAAAGGTCCCTGAAGGTTCTTAGAATCATTTAGACAATGATCAATGATGCACTGTCAGTGAATAGGGAAACCCCAAAGTACAATGGTTTTAGAGGAGATGGCACCACCATCCCTGCGGTTCTCGGTTTGGGGGGTTGTGACGCCCTCCGAAAGCTGTTGGGGCCATTTTCTTTGAAACCATTGTAGACTTTTCATATCTTGATACGACCTTATGCGATTTGAAGCGGTATTCCCAAATACAAGATTAGAATACATTAGAATATCATAGAATGGCAAATTCCTGACGTGAACCAATCTGGGAACCTCCAAAAGGGAGGCCTGGACTCCTGGACTTTTCTGGTGGCAGATGGTGAAAAGTAAGGACAGCTGCTCCCCGACTTTGATGCCAAGCACAAGAGGACATGGCACACCTTTCTTTGACCGGCGACCCCGGTCGTGGCTCCGGTCGTGCGGTCATGCAGAGCAGAGCTTTCACCTTGGCCCCGAAGTGTTTGGGTCAGCTGGCGACATGTTGCAAAGCCGACAGAGCCAAGTCCAACCTCGTTGCATCGGCATTTGGCAGAGAAAAGGAGTGGCCAGTGTCTGCATGGTTGATGGTCTGGGACCAACAGCGAACAGATCAAAGGGACCCGCGGCCCAAGATCCCCGAACATGTTGATGGACCCCGCGAGAAGCTCTTCTCAAGAAGCAGCCCAACATGGAACTCCTGGTTTCGTAACGCTTCCGCCAGCACTTCTCATCACTTCTGCCAGCACTTCCTGGCCTTCTCATCACTTCCGCCAGCGGAAAACAGTCCCAGCTGGTCGGATTTTCTCAATGCCGGCTCACTGGAGGTACAAGCATGGTGTGGACATCCGTGCTGGCCCCGCCATTGCTGAGCCAGGTGCTGAGGAGGAAACAAGTAAGCAGCGAAGCGAAGGCTTGCCGGCTCGCAGACCGGCCATCCCTGGCTTCCCAAAACGGGTCGGTTGGCCCGTGTTTCGATCCTTTTCTCCACTGCCACCGGGGAGATCCGACCGAGCTGGCGTGGGTGGGTGGGTGGACAGCGAAGGAGCGAACGACCGAGCGGGGCGCTTTTCTTCGGGTCTCGAGACGGGGCGCCCCGAGGCGCTTTTGACGGATCAAAGGATTGAACCAACAGTTCAAGCAATAGACGTACCTGGAGTCTCGAAAGTACCTATTTTAATTGCTTTTTTTAAAAAAACTGTTTTTAAGTTAAAACGCGTTTTATGATATGCAAACGCGTTTTCTGGTTTTTGGGGAAAGCAATTAAAATATGGTACTTGAAAGACTCCAAAGTGGTGTGTGAAGCGCTGCTCATGGTTCAAGTGTTGGTTGGAAAGCCCGACGTGATGATGGACTTCCTTTGAGGCGGGATCCCCCGCTGTGCTTGCAGTGTGGCAGTTGCGTGTGAAGAGTCATGAAACAATGGCATGCAAAACTATACATGATAAGAACATTCTGGCTCTTTTTCACGTGGGGGCCGCCTTTTGTTCATTGGATGGCCATGGAAGTCTTCGTATCCAAGAACGCAGAGCAGTATGAAGAGCTCAACCGAAGAGGCTTGAACAAGTGCAGGGTGAGTTGAATGAAAAAACAAAAACATGGAACAACACTTGCATGGTGGTGTTCATAGGCCTTTTGGATCTCCCGGATAGCTTCTGGTCGTCCGTGATGAGCGTGCTGTACCCTCCCAACGTTCCTGAGATTTTGTTAGCCTTTGTACGTGCACTTTGTAAGCTACCAGCTACCATCTAATCTATCACTTCAGTTTGGTATGTTCCTGGGAGCTCAGGGCGGAGAGATAACCAGGAAGCGTTTTGACAAGATCCTGACGAACTATGACTCCAATGGCCTGGTTGCGCACCTGACCCTGAAGCATCGCAAAGGTGGGGCGCTATAGTGGGTGCTATATATTATATGGCTCTATAGACCGGGGCTGTGTTGTGTGGAGTCTTTCAAACCGGGGTTGTGTCACTGTGTGGCAGGTGCATTTTGGTCGGTCGCGCGCTTGCATTCGAAGTTTTTTTCTTTTCACTTGGAGTTGCGTACAAGCAATATCAAGCAACCATGTGAAACTGCTCAAGCTAACGCAGCTTAAGTTGCAGCAAGTGATGACCCAAAGATTATTGTTTCCTGGATTCTGAGGATGAGTGCTCCTATTCAAGCAGCAACAGTGAGATTGACCTGCCGAATGGACGCTAGGATTTGTGCAGTTCGCGTCAACTGCAAATGCCAGCTTGGCGGGGAAGGTGGTGCAACAGGGGACGTTGCCCAAAAAAAGGGATGCCTCAAGCTTTGTCAATTATAAGTTGCACTTCACATCTACAGCAGTCTAAAGTCTAAAGCAACTGCAACCCAATCTCGTGATCACTATCAGGTCGGTAGTGCTGCAAACATGGATCACCCCCAATCCCACAGTCCGGAACAGGGCACCTATTGTGCCCTGAGTATACCCTATCCATACTTCTCTCCCGCCACAGGCCACTTGCTGCGCTGGACAGTGCTACCACATGGTCAGGACCTCAACACTTGGGAACAAAGAAGGTTTCTAAGGAAGGTTTTAACAGTTTTGACTTCAAGTCATGAATCCTGCAGCCACTCAGTCATTCCCAAGCCTTCTAAAGCTCTCACTCCAAATGTCTAGCCTGCAGCTGGACGACAGAGACGAGTGCCACGCATCACCAATGGGTGGTCTGGCAGTGGCTTGGGAAGGAAGTGCCAGGATCCGCCATGTTGTCCGCCTCAAAGGATCCCTCTTGCAGTGGGGTGATGCCAAAAAGGTGGGTGTCCCTTCAATGAACCCCGCCTATACAATTTGAAGCTTTTCTGGGTGTACTGTGTCTGAGTTTGGGGGTCCGCCTGTGGCCCCAGTGATTCTGCACATGCACTAGCCCAAGGAAAGCTATCGAAGACAATGTGGAGGTCTTGACCTTCACTGCGAAAGCGTGGGTCGACGCTTTTGACTTTGAAGGGTCTGGCAGCCGCCCTCGAACAATTCCCTTGAACCTACTCAGCCTTCAGGCGTCACTCTTGAATGTTATGTCTAGAGCATGTATACTTCTGGGTCCTGTTTTGTTTGGCACAATGCCTCAACCTTGACTCAACCCATGACCAGGTAAAGGAGTTCTGGAAGATCATGCTGGACGGTCCGGAGGATGTGTCGTCTCCAAACGGCATGAAAATGCCAAGCAAAACCCACATTTATGCAGATGCTTGGGGCATCAGGAAGCTGATTAGCCACAGCCTTCGGAACTTGAGGATGGATCGACTACCCAAAGTGGTTTGGCTTGCACCTATAGCTGTCAAAAACATAAAACAAAATGGCCCTCTATAGATTCTATAAACTCAACACACCAATAACTTCCTGGCCCATAATCGTATGAGCCTTTGCCACCCTTGCTCACACTGAGTCTGCTGCCTGCCGCGGAGTCGCAAAGATCTTCCTGGAGGCTTGGTATCCTGGAGTGTACGACGAGCTCGAAACCGCTGGGGACGATGCGGAGGATCAGGCGACACTCGTGTTATATATGACACACACTATAGTTGTATTGTGTGAGCGTGTGTTGCAGGCTTCTTTTGAAAATCAAACATTGACAGATTTTGATTATGGTTTTTCATATTTTAATGTGGTCGGGAACGCAGGAGGAGACTGCTGCCACAGAGCTGGAGTCTCCGGCTACTTTGGCTATTCACGCGATAGAGAATGATGAGAATGATGAGAATGACGAAGATGAGCCACCATTGGAAAATGGTGAAAACCGCTATGATCTTGAGAATCTGTCTCCAGATGAACAAGCCTTCGCTGAAGCGGTACGATCCATTGCCGCTGAAGGCTCTGCTCCAGAAGCGCTACGATCCACTGCCGCTGAAGGCTCTGCTCCAGAAGCTGCAGATGCAGTTCCTTTGTCTGATGGGAGGAAAGCTTGGCAAACGCGAATGGCAGATGCTATCACAGAAGGCAATCGCTTTCCTGGGCCTGACTGTCCGTCAGATGGCTTATTGCAGTTGAAGAAGGAGTCCATGGACCCATCTCATGTCGAGACATTGCCATGGACGCCCCCGCCAGCCTCAGCGTTCACCCCATCAGCCGTGTCAGAGATGGATGCCAGAATCGCCTACCTCCAGAGCCTTGGGCTGCATTAATTGGCATGTCATGAATCGACAGGATTGGGAGTGGGGGTGGTCTTTCATGTTTTATGTGCCAAGGTCAGCATTGGGGCGCTCTTCATCCTCCTCCAGTGTTCCCAGTGGTGTGAAAGCAGGTCGACCTTTCGATGGTCAGGTCTTTGAGGTTGAGGAATCACAAGATAGCAACGCCTTGGCATCCTCGTCAATGACCCGTGCATTGAACCCGTATGAGGCCAAGGCCCTAGAAGAAGATGCTAAGAGGAATCAAGCCCGTGTTGCTGAAATTGAACAGCCGGCTGAGCCAGTTTCCGCATTGGTCGAGGAGATTGGAGAAGAGTCCCAGGCTGCTTCAGAGCCTGTGCATGCTCCATTGCTGCCATCTCCCTCGAAGGAAGTGGAGGAGGAAGTGGTGGAGGAAGTGGAGGAGGAAGTGGCGGAGGAAGTGGAGCAGGAAGTGGTGGAGGAAGAGGGAAAGAAAGAAACAAAAGCGGTCGAACACCACATACTTGATGATCTGAAGCAAAAGATCTTGACAAGGGCTGACCAAGGTGCACTGTACAAGGAAAAGGGCAGCCCAAAGAAAGGCAAAGGCAGAGGAAGGGGCAAAGGAAAAGGGAAGGGCAAGAAGGCCAAGAGCAAGGCTCAGGAAGAAGATGAAGAGAAAGAAAAGAAGCCTGCCAGTCGCCCACGTCGGTCAAAGAAGGATGTGGAGGGCAAGGGCGAGGACGCAGCCCCTAAGAGACGCAGAAGGGAATCACTGGTCAAGACACTGTTTCAATCTGATGATGAGAGCTGGAAAGATCCGGCTCCTGCTCCAGCTGAGGGGAATGAGGGGAAGGCAAAGCCTACACGGAAGAGGGGTCGCAGTGTAGCGGCAAAGCCATCAAAGGAGGCTGATGAAGTGACCGCTGCACCTGTGGCAGCCCAGGGAGAGGCCACCATGGCCAAGAAGAGGTCCACCAAGACCAAGGACCAAAAGTCTGCCAAGGGTGAAGGTGAGGCCAAGGCAGACAAAAAGACTCGGAGGGTGAAGTCGGATCTCCCGACCTTCACCCATTGCAACATCGTCCCTTACTGGTCTCGGCCTGCTTGTGGATTGAAGGTGCCAGTCAAGATTGCGGGGAATGTGGCCAAGAAGGAAAGCAAAACTGGTATGACCCAGGCTCGGAGTGAGTTTTGTTTTTCTCTCTGCGCGGTTCATAATTGATCCAAGTCCTTGTAATACTTTAGATCTTAAATTGATTTCCTGGAGGTCTTCTACATTCAGATTGCGAATGCCCCGATTCAAGACCATATCAACTTGATTGCCAGTGTTGCCACTCGGTTTACTGGCCTCATGATCTGCAAAAGAAACATGCATAATACACTTAATAATACTTAAGATATCAAATATCGACATCCCTGTGCAGAATTCTTAGAGTGTTCATTTTTCTAGTT